TAGAGACACGCCATAAAGTGACACCTGTCATCCAATCACAGCTCTCCTTACAAGCCTACAGCGTCAGTGGTGCTAAAACTGTTTTAAAGACTTTTTTAGGGACTTTTTGACTTTGACAGAGAAGCTTGAGAAAGGGAATGACAGCAAGAGGAGGACTGAAGCCTCAGTGCAAATGACACTTTTTTTTACCTTACTGAAGCGCATCCGGGGGAAACTGTTCTCACATGCTCTGACTAAAAGAGTGTTCAGGGGTACTACTTCATATTTCAATCATTGAAGGGGCATCTTATGAAATATTTTGTACCAGACATCCAGAGACTGCTTCTTTTTTTTCTTCTACTGGGAGAGCATCCAGAGGGCACTTTTTCATGTTTTTTTTTTAATCTAGAGGACCTAGAGGACTATTTCACATCTGTTGTACTAGAGGGACCTACCAGGAGTCCTTTTTATGTTTGATGTACTAAAAGAATATTTGAAGAGCAAATTTTTACTTTTTTTCACTGGGAGCACATCCAGAGAGCAGTGTTTTGTTTACATCTGTTCTCTTAAAGGGCATTCAGGGTGCACTCTTGATGTTTCAAATTCTGGAAGGTCATCCAGAACATCCTTTTTCGTGTTTTTTCTCCACAGAAAGGGCATCCAGGGGATAGTGTTTTTGCATTTTTATGCTGAGAGGGCATTCTGACGTTACTGTTTAAAAATTGTTATACCAGCAGAAGGACATTCAATGGGCGGTGTTGGACATTTTTAATAATGCTAGAGAACTTTCTATGTTTAAAGGAATAGTAGGACATCCAGAGACCACTCCTTTTTTTGCTACCGGGAGAGCATCCAGCAGGCACTTTTTTGTGTTGTTTCAATCTACTGGAAGAGGACTACTTTATATCTGTTGTTCTAGAAGGACCTACCGGTAGACCTTTTTATGTCTCATTTACTAAAAGAACATTTAGAGAACTTTTTTTTCTTTTTCCCACTGGGAGAGCATCCAGAGGGCAGTTTTTTGCATCTGTTCTATTAAAGGGCATTCAGGGTGCACTGTTTTACTTATCAAATTCTGGAAGGTCATCCAGAACGTGCTTATTCATATTAAAAAAATTTTTTTTTTGAATTTTTATGCCGGAAGGGCATCCAGAGGGTACTGTTTCACACTTGTTATAAAAGCAGAGGGGCATTCATTGGCAGTGTTGGACATTTTAAAGTCTGCAAGGCCACCTTTCTATGTTTGAAGGAATAGTAGGACATCCAGAGGGCACTGTTTTTGTATTTTTTGTATTACTTTTTTTAATTTCATTGTTTATTTGATGCGGACATCACAATAACCAGATGCATTGTTTGAGTGTTTCAGCATATGTGCTTATTCACAACACTTGTCCACATATAAGACAGGCTTTCAGTGGGTACTGTTTAAAAAATACCAGACTGGCACCTTTTCATATTTTTGGACATCTAGAGACCACTTTTTTGTCTTTTTTTTTAATCCAAGAGGGCTTTGACAAACAAACTGGTCATACTTCCGCAGCCGAGGTCCTAGCAGCACGTAAATCTCCAAGGTTAGATGTTCAATAATCACATACTCACAAACTTCAGTTCCATCTACACAGGCCACTAAAGGCCAACACAGACAACAACACAGGTAAACAATCCCCCCATTTCAGCGGAGCAGCAACAACCTGTCGAGGATGATAAACATGATTGAAACTGCAGACCAGCTCAGGATGGCTCTGGTGGTCTGCCTCACTTCCACCTCTGGTATGTCCATATTACAAACTGAAGAACTGTTACAAGCGTGCAGTTCATTTCAGTGTCAGAGGCTTTTTTTTAATCCTCCTTTCCCCTCCTGACATGTAATGGCATTCACCGGGCCGTGTGCGGACAGACGAGGAGAGTGCTTTCTGCTCCCATAAATAAGGCCGAGGTAAGCTCCGGCCTGTTTCATCCATCACTGGAGCAGGAGGGAGCGAGGGGGCCAGATTCATCCATGTTCCCAGCAGCCGGTCCCCTGTGGGAACTTCACACAGCCATTAAACACCTCATGGCAGCCCGTAAGCTAGTGGGGCCAGCTGAGCCGAAGAGAGAGAGGGAGAGAGCTGCAGTCCCACAAGCTCTCCCCTCGTCCCCGTGGACGTGTCAACAGGTTTTTCATTTAGAGTTTTAGTGCACATCTCGGGCACATAAGTCTGCTGATATTGGAGAGAAGGAGGCACATACATCCTTGCTCTTATAGAGATTCACACGGGTGTTAATGTGGGACAAGAAATACAGGAAAAAGTCCATAAAAGAGGCAGTTTTGATTTGCTCACAGTGAAAAAGATAATTGTTTGCACACTGCAGCTCTTATGTGTTCATTTATAAGAGATGTTTGAGGCGATGCCGGACAATCAAGTTTCAAAATAATCTGAGTTAAACTCTAAAAGCTGTTAGAGATAAATTTTATTGATCACTAAAATCAGCTTCACAGCGTTTCTTGGATAAATTTCAATGCAGGATGACTTTACAGACATCCAAGCAGTTTCAGCTGATATAAAAAAGTCAATAATCAGCGGTTCTGCTCAACCACTTAAGGCCTTTTCATCATTATTGTGAGGTCACCCTAAAGTCCGCTGAATCCATGGCGACGGTACTCCTACGGTAAACACAGATGACTTTTTTGGGATGTCTGCAGGGCGGTAAAAACCTGCGCTGGGATTCGGAGGGGATGCGATAGCGTCTAACATGCCCTTAGGTCGCTCTGGGGACTGAAGCGAGGTGGTTTTATGAGCGAGTGGAGCGCAGGTGTTGAAATTGACAGACTGCGCCGTAGATTCCCAAGCTTTTTAAAAGGGTGCATCTGGACTAATAAAGCCCCGCATTCGAGGGCAGAGCCATGATTTGTATGTGCTTGGTTATCATCACTTATCACTTTATTAAAAGTCAAAATGAAAAACATAACCGTAAGCAACAAGAACAAACATTTCCGACCCTAAACATGAGAAATTCTCCGTTTTTGGGAATCTGTCCCCGCCCTGTCGTGGGAGCAAAGCGGGCCGTTTGATCTCACCTCGCCCTGCTTAATTAAAGCAGAATGCAGCAGACGCTCAATATTTCCACCATGGGTTTCAAAGAGTCAAGTTAGATCATTCAGGGAGTCAGCCGTATTGTTTTGTTGAGCAGGACTGAAGAGGTGGCTCTATCCAGCACTCCTTCAAACCACACTTCACATGCCGGGGATTCCTGCAGACCGCAGCAGTGGGCAGGAGCAGATGCTTGATTGATGAAGAGGCTGCTTTGTTACGTGTGTTTTCTTCATCAGAAATCAGGAGAGTCTTTGAGCCGTGTGACTTTTTTTATCATGATGATTTCACAACGACCTGCAAAAAGGTAGGAGGTCATAGAGGTCGTCAACGTTTCTAAACATGACAACTCTTCTTTAGTTAACCAGAACTCTGAGCTGAAACTGACTCTGTGAACAGTTATTGTAATGATTTATTAGCTTTTTTTGACAAAATCTCTCGGCTTTGTTTCAGAGACAAAGTCAAGTTGAGTTTTATTCAGATGTACCCTTTACTCTCCCTGCCTTTACTTTTCTTCTTCAACTCCAGCTCCTCCCTTGTGTGGTGGCGTGAACATTTCGTTCAGAAGAACGCAGCTGCTGAGTGAACGACGTGAATGGAATCACTCTGAGACCTGATTCGTTCCTGTCTCAGTTCAGTTGTGCTCAGCTGCAGGTGTGTCGTGCCGGTCGGGAGCGGAACTGATCAGTCAGACTGCGAACAAAATGAACGACTTCTGAACAACTTGAAAAAGGCAGAGTGGCGTAGCGTTGTTCACAAACTGCCGAGCACCGGTTCGTTGACTGTGAGGATGAACGAAGGCTCAGATAAAACAGGTCATTATAGTGCCTTTACATTTCTACAGGTCCTTAAACTTTGATATCTTTAAAAGTATCCAAATCCCAGCTACAGCTGCGATGTTTATTTATTTTTAATCTCTCCACTTTTCCGCGATATAAAAGAACGACGGCTCGTGCTCGTTTCGCAAGTGCGCTGCTTCCCGCTATGTTGTTACACTTGAGTCATGCGAACGTCGGCGGCACACAAAGAGGTGAGTTTTTCAAGGCAGGGGAGTGATTCTTCTTTCACGACTTGGCAAATGAACGACACGAGTCACCCAGTGAACGACGCTGTGACTTCAGCTGCAGAGGAGGGGAGGGGGTACTGCACCGACAGGACGAGGCTCCGAAGCACTGACTGATCCAGTGAACGAATCTTTTGAACAAATCATTTAAATGAACGGATTCTAAAGATTCAGTCAAAAGAGCTGTTCCTCCCATCACTATTGTACTGAGGTCAGTGAAGCCTGTCTTTGCTGATGCTCTCCCTGCTCCTCCTCTTGTGGTGTGGTTGTTCCCTGCTCTGTTTAGACACTGGGAGGTCTTTGTTTCAGTTCTGGGTCCTCATTCAGAGTGAGATCCAAACAGCTCTCTCTCTGGTGGTTGGGACTGTTTGTCTTCTGTTTGGCCTTGGATGTGTTTCTGAAGTTTCACCATCTGTATTAATCAATCTTTTTCTTTTGTTTATGCCGCCATAGCAACCCTCCACTTCCAACTCGGCAGAGACCACAGGAAACGGTACACCTCTTCACTGCTGGACACCTCTGGTGGAAAAGGTGCTGTGTTAACTTATTTTGACAGAATATAATGATTAAAAGAGTTTATTTAAATTAAAATCTTCCAAATGAACCTCCAGGCTGTATCCAAAACTCCTAACACTGTATATTCATTCACTTCTCCTTTTTTGGGCGTCCTGAAAACCACAATAATGTTCTTGATGTATTTATTATCCCCATTTTGGTCCGGTTACATTTTTGAATGATCTCCTGTCCTGTTTAATATTGTAAATTTTCCTCCTCCAGATCCCCAGATTTCACCGAGAACAAAAGGGAAACCCTCCGCCTGCTCTGTAAACGAGTGTTTCTGTCTTTAGGAGTCACTGCAGGATTATAAAGCATCCCTCTGGAGTCTATCATGCTGTGTGACAGTAAGGACACGGCCCTGGACCAGTGACAGCACCCATAAGTCTCCGTCGGGGCCCCTGGCGAGCTGTCTCATGACTCTGTGCAGGTGCCTCCTGTTCCTGCTGCAGTCTCAGCCTCTCAGACCCTACATGGCTCTTCTCCTCCTCCTCCTCCTCCTCCTCATGTTTCTGCGTCTCCATTCACATCCTATTTAATCTGAGCTTCATCACGTCACTGGGTAAGATGTTCCACAGCCATGCAGGGGCTTAGTGCAGGACGCCATGTTTAGTCATTAGTGAGCAGGAGATCCACAGAGCTGAGTATCGAATGTCCCATCTGATTAGAGCTAAAAGGAGAGCAGCATGTGTGTGAGTGACGAGGAGAAGGATCAAAGAGAAACTCACTCCACTTCCACTCCTCTGATCAGAAGTCTTCTGCTGATAAAACCGGAGGGATCTGGAAACAGCTTGGTGACCCCGCCTTTATGCAGCCCTCCAGCAAACTGGCGATGATTGGGCACAACGCCTTGTTATTGATTTTAATCAACAATTTGATCAGCGACATTCATTTAAACGCACAGTTAAAGGGATATTCCGGGGTAAAATTAAGTTAGGGTCAAACACACTGTAACACAGAGTTAGACACCCCCTCGAGAGGACTGAGAGGACGTTTGGACTGAGGCTCTGACATGTAAACATACTCGGTGCTGTAGAGTTACTCCATAAAGATCCACTTACCCTCAAAAATCACGTTGCACCTCTTTCAGCATCCGATTCTAAACGAGGACTGTGCAAAATAGGTTTCTCAAGACGAGTTACGAAACCCAAAGTTTAGCATTTCTGAGGAGTGGACTCAAACTATCGTCTAACTGATCTAGAAACCAAACACACTGCGTCCTTGACCCTATTGGTCACTGATTTCCTCGCATGATAACTGTAATGTTCTCCGTCTTATTGTGGCGATCTAAAAACTGAATAATCACCCTTTTATTTGATACCTCCACAGCTGTGATTTGTCAATAACAGCAGAGCTGTGTTACAAAGTAAATAAAACGACATATTTTATTGCTTTCCAAACACCAGACACAATACTTTTCACACACAGTTTTTGTAAAGCCACTGGCATGTCATGCGTCTGTTCAGGCCAACTGAGCTTAGATTGGACAATTTGGTTTGTTAGGAAACAGAGCTAACACTCTGCAGACACTGTCCCACTGAGTCTGTAAAACCTCCTCGGAGAGTCCACAGAAACTCAAAGCTTTTTCCAAAAACACACAAAAAGCTACATAACTGGGACATGAGTGAGCAGCCACTGCTTGGTGCAATAACCTCCTTAAATTCTGCACAGAGGCAAACAACAGTCAAGAACTCATGGAAGATGCTTTTGTGAGTTAGTGGTCCTGCGAAGTGTAATCTTTAGAGGTCATTAGTTTACTGAGGAAGGTCAAACTCGATACCATGAAGGAGGTTTAGAAAACAGGTGACCTCAAATTATCACCCTGCTATGGAAAATATTTGATTCTGATTGGTCAACGGCAACAATGCAGTAAAATCAGACATGACTCTAGAGTGGAAATCACCGCATTGGCTCAAAATCATTCAAAAGAACTGTCTGTAACCAAAGTTTGTTAAAGAAACCAGAATCAAAAATACACAATCCAGTGAGAGAGACAACTTTTCTAGAGTCCATGTCATGGGTATCTTCCACATCCGTGAAGGCTCCATTAATGCTGAACTATATCTACAGGTTTAGGAACAACATCTGCTGCCATCCAGACAAAGACTTTTTCAGGAAAGACCTTCATATGATCCCAAACCACATCCTGAAAACAGGGATTACAACAGCATGGCTCTGTAGGAGAAGAGTCCTGCTGAGAAACTGGACTGATTTAATCCTGACTTGTCCAACACTGAAAACATCTGGAGCATCATGACACCAAATATACAACAAAAGAGACCCTGAACTGTTGAGCAGCTGAAATCCTCCAGTTTTCAGCACTTCGAACGTTGTTTTTGCACATTTTTTTAATGTTAAATACAGACATTCTCATCAGTTTAAAATCTGCCAACAGTGCCCAGTATTATCTCTTTAAATCACTATTGATAAACCGAGAATGAGCTCATGTTCACGCTCACAGCTTGTTGCATATGAAAGATATCTGTTTTTGCATCCTGAAAACAGGGATTACAACAGCATGGCTCTGTAGGAGAAGAGTCCTGCTGAGAAACTGGACTGATTTAATCCTGACTTGTCCAACACTGAAAACATCTGGAGCATCATGACACCAAAAATACAACAAAAGAGACCCTGAACTGTTGAGCAGCTGAAATCCTCCAGTTTTCAGCACTTCGAACGTTGTTTTTACACATTTTTTTTGCATTACGCATCGCCTGCCAACAGTGCCCAGTATTATCTCTTTAAATCACTATTGATAAACCGAGAATGAGCTCATGTTCACGCTCAAAGCGATCTGACATTTACAGCAAACATTTGACTTCATGTTACAAGTTCAGCATGTGAGGAGCGGAGAGCAAAGTGCTGCAGGACTCCACTGATGTTTGCGCCATTAAAAACATGCGTCCTCTGGTGAATAACAACAGAACTGAGTCCAAATGGGCTGTTGTGTCGAAACCTAAGCTCACCGCGGGGAGAAGCAGAAACTTTTTGCAAGTTAATGTCTTCCTTTTGGAACAAGTATCACACATGTATCTTTGGCTAAAGAAATATGGTGCCATCCGACTCCTCTTGTATCTACAGAGTCAGAGAAGGAGGAAGAGTCGAGCTGGATGAACTCAGGGAGGGTCAGAGAGGAAGTCTGTGTGTTTTTTAGAGGTCACTGAAAGGTGCTGTGATATGCATTAGGAATGATGTTTCTGTGGACAAATAGAGCCGGGTGTCTCTGAGGTGCTGATTGAGCCTGCAGATGGAGTATAAATTACGATGAAAAGGCATCAGCAAGGTTGACCCCCCTCCATCTACGCTTAATCTGCAGCCAAGGGGAGATTTTATTTTTCCTTGCAACATCAGGGGAAAAAAAAAACGGACGGGGAATCATTCTGCTAAACCCTCGGCTGGCAGGCTCCGTCTCCGAGTGGTTCAGCATCTGTTGCTTTATTTTCCGATGGAACTCGCGGCTCTTTGCCTAAATGATTTCTCGCACCACGTGAGATTGATTAATCTCTTATAATAGCAGGACCAGTCGTCTTTTTTTTTAAACGTCCGACATCTTGAGGTTCTGGCAGCGCAGAGGAGGAACCCTGAGGTGCTTTCGGTTTAACAGGGTCAGAGCATCTTTAATGGACGGTAAACATGGATAATAGCCGGGCTTGTCACATATGTTAGTTTGGTTTAGCGTCACGGCAATTTAAAACAACAGTCGTAAAATAAAAAATGACAAAACCTCTGTAATAGTAATGAAAGAAAGAGACGAATTTATTGGGAGCATTAATAAATCACAGCTGGCCTGTAAAGGAGTCGGATAACAGAGCAGAATGACCATTTCAGCCCAAAATCACAACTTCAGATGAACACAGTTTTACTGCGACCAAATCCAACCGCTCTAGAAAATATGAATACTTTTCTTAAGATTATTTATTTTTCACAGAATTTTAGCCTCTTTGTTAGAATTCCTTTTTTTAATTTGAGGATAAATCTGAGATATTTTTAATGCTAATTTAAGGGGTTATTCTTTTTATTTCATAGGACAGCTTTAGGTCTGACTGCATGACTTAAACACTGATCTGTCTGATCTGTCAGATATCATTGGCTGGAGCCTGTCAGAGAAACACTGGTGAGAAATAGCAGATACACTTCAGTCAGTAACTGCTGTCAGTATTTCTTGCCGAGCTTCTCTTACTTCCAACATCATCATCACATTGGTCATGATGATGTCTATGTGTTAAGTCACAGCACATGTTGAAGGCTCGGTGATCAACAGAGGATAGTGTAGTCCGATCTCTAGGAGGACAGATCTAAGAAGTATCTGTGTTCGAACCTGTTTTTGCTAAATCGGAAATTTTTTAAATAATTCTGTGATTAAAGTCAGGACTCTGACTTTATTTTTGCTTTTTGGCAAAATACTGATGAATTTTCTCAGAATTCCAAGACAAGAATTTTGGCTTTTTTCTCTCAGGATCTTTTTTTTTTTCTTGGAATTTCAAGTTTACTTCAGGGCTTTTTTATTTTATCTGATTGGACAGCCTAAGAAGGATATGAAACAAGGGAAAAGTGAGAGGGAATATCATTCACCAAATCATACAATCAATCTACAAAACTGCTGTGACAGGAATTGTAGCCCCTGCACATGGGTTGTATGGTCTAACAACTGAGCCGAACCAAAGCCCCTCAATGACCGGATCCCGAGGTTTTAATCAGAACTCTGAGATTAAGAAGTGCAGGTTTGTACTTGTGCTTTTCCCTTACCCAACATAATCTAATTTATGCCAAGTGGACAGAGGGAAGCTCAATATGTCTGCACTGAACCAGGGGAAATATTGTTTCCAAGTCTCTGCAGCCCTTTAATTTTGCCATATTCTTAAGAAATTCTGAGGTGAAATCAAAAAGAACCCAACCTAAATTTCCCAGCCCATGCTGATCACAACTTTGTGTGACATAACTCTTTCCTCCTCCACAGCCTGACTCAGAGGGAAAAAAAGCAGCCGCAATCTTTCCCAATCCTGCTCAGTCAGTCTCAGTGACTGACTCTGACCTCTTTCCCTGTGACTCCATCATGCACCTGTGCAGGGTGGACCTCGGGGACGGCCCCCGTTCAAACCAGGCATGGGGCCTCGGGCCTCCCTGTCGTGCCTGATGAATGTCGGAGTGTCCCGGGGTCCCCTCCCTGTAGGTGTGGATCTCCCTCCAGAGGCCCGATTAAAACAGCCTGCGCTCTCAGCTGTGTTTGCTGCTTGTCAAACAGTCTGTTTTACGGGCTTCATTAGGAGAGGAGGTGGGTTACATATGGAGAGCGTGTTTTACTGCCACTGGCTGTCTGTGAAGACCAGAGATCATGACTTGTCTGACACTCAGTAAATCAGCCAAGTCCAACAAACACAACTGCACACCGGACGAGACAGAGAAAGAGAGGAAGAGGGATTGTTATTGTTACTGAAAAGTTATGAGAAATGCTCAAACTGATTCCCAGAACAAAACACAGTGTTATAAGAATTCATGATTTGTGGTCGATGTCTCACTGTGTTTA